AATAACTTTTTGAAGTTTTTAAGGCCCCGTTTGGCCATGAGTTTTGCCAAAATAAATTTGGGATTTATTTTCAAAACTCATGTCTGGCTATAAATTTTGCCTACATTTTGGCCAAATCCCAAATCCGAAAATCAGCTATTGAGCTGATTTTGGGCAAAAATCCCAAAACTTGGGAATTATATACATGTTTTTCCAAAATAAAGTTGGCAAATATGTTTTGAAAAGGTATGTCCAAACACATTTTCATCTTCAAACCAAACTTCACCCAAATCAGATTTTTCAAAATAAATTTGCGATCTATGGCCAAACGCTAGCTAAAATTTCCGAAAATTTCTGAAATTCAATTTCAAGTGAAAATTGAAATTTTCATGGCCAAACACTAATTCCGAAAAAGTAAAAAGAAAAAAAATTATGTCAAACGGGCCCTATGTTTCAAAAGTACTTGACTTTTATTTAACTAATCATATGTTTAACAGCTGAAGTTCTCTTGAACCTTACTTGGATTTACCTAATCTAGAAACATTGCCAACCAATGAAGATTTAAAAATATTTCTTATTTTTACATCTTTAATAAAGGAAAAGAAAGACTTATTAGACAACAAATGTTAAGACTTAGGAGGTTACTGAAATTAGAACATACAACATGAAGGTTCGAATTGTAACGTCTTACTTTTCTTTTTAACGAAAATAAACGAGTTTTCTCATGTTTATTTTCCTAAATAATTTATTAGGAAAGTTGATCGATGAAAATTATAATATTAAAAATAGCTTATTTTCTAAAAAATGTTAATATTTGTTGAAGAAAGATATACTTGGGAATTCATGATGTAGCCTTTTAGTATGATTTATATTATACAATAAAGTGTTTTATTTTTTTATTCGTAATACTTTTTTTATCTAAAAGGGTAAAATTATTAGAAATGAAGTGGATGAGTAGAATGGAAAATCCGTGAAGAATCTTGTCAAATTAATGATGGTTTAGGACTTAAATGCTAATGATGTTTTTCCTTTTGTAGAAATGATTTAGAAACCTTCATTTCAGCTATTACTTTCTTTGATTTGCGTGATTTAAGGTTTTATTTTCAACTTTTAAGGAAAAGACTTCCCATTAATTAGTTTATGAAATGACTAATCAGCCCATTCGCGAGGCATTTGTTCAGTACGACATTGTATTTCGTTAGATAATAGGGGTCTATAAATGAAAATAAGTGCTTTTTATTGGTGGGTGGGTGGGTGGGTGGGGTGGGGGTTGCGCTACTTGCATCACTACATAGTTGCATCATAGATACGTGATGTTTAGCTTAAAGTATATAGGCTGAATATACGGATACACTTAAAGTTGGCACAATTTTTCATTTAGACACTGAACTTAGAGGTGTTCCTAATGAGCACGTACATTACATGAACTTTGTTCCAATTAGGCACTCTTGCTGAGTTGGCATATAGAGTGAGTTTCACCCAACATAGGCGCGTGAAGAGCCCAAAAAACAGATTTTTTTTTTTTTTTTTTATTTCCTTCTTCTTCTTCTTCTTCTTTATGTCCACCACCATTTCCATCATTGCCTCCTCCACTTTCACCATTTCCTTCTTCTTCTTTATCAGTGTCACTACTCATATCCAATTGAAGGTTAAAGCAATTAATTTAAGCTTAAGCTCTCAAATTCAATCATCTTTCCGTTACAGGACTCTCAATTAATTTAAGCAATTAATTTAAGCTTAAGCTCTCAAATTCAATTACTAGATATTGCTTCGAATTCACCTTTCCGTTACAGAACTCTCAGTTAGCTTGTACCAGACCAAACAACCAGCCGCCGCCAAGCTCCCCCCTCCTCACCACCAAATCCTCCGCCACCCTCCTCTCTTACCCCCATCGCCAAACCCTTCTTCTTCACCCCACCCATCTCCAGCCGTCACTCTTCTCCAGGAGCAGCCCCCCTATTGATTAAAACTGAAATGAGTCCGAGTTCTTCATTTCAAATCGAAACACCATTAATGGGGTCTTTAAAAAGCTTGAAGGTTTAAAATGGGTTACTTGATTTGATGAAAGTTTGTGAAATTAATGTTGGGGTTGCCTTCGGGTCGTCTTGGGGAATCTTTAGGTTAAGTTATAACAAATACCGAGGAGTTTCTCTTAAAAGTTTGGATTAAAATCTTGGTTGGAACAAGAACACACATGAAGATAGTGAAGAACACCAAGAACACACATTAAATAAATTTTACATAGTTATTCCTCTCTCTTTTCTAAACTCAAAAAGATATATGTCCTCATTTTATTCGCCATTTGCTACATCAGCAACGAGTGTGTTGCACACACTTCGTAAGTTTCACTAATTGTCAAAAGAGCGTCTAATTGGAACAAAGTTCGTGTAATGTACGTGCTCATTAGAAACACCCTTAAGTTCAGGTGTCTAAATGAAAAATCGTGCCAACTTTAAGTGCCTTCATATGTATTCAGCCAAGTGTATATATTTATATGTATATCACCTCATGTTTTACTCTTGTTTCGTGGATTTAGGATGTAAAATGTGTTAATTTGTATTAATTCGAGGTGTTTTTATGTGTAGGAATCATCCGCAAGCAATTGGGGGCGAAAGGTGCGAGATTAGAGCCAAAACGGACGAAAAAAGGGAAAGGGAGATTTTCAGCGCCACAGGCAGCACCCCACGCTACCTGTGGCGCCCCAGACAGTGAGTAAAATTTACCTGCGCCAAGGACGGCATCTAGCGCTAGGCTGGACGCTGGTGACAGGATTTCTGTCCAACTTTGCCCGGACAAGGTTATTCGGCTCTAGACCTACCCAACACGTATAAAAGTAAGACTAAGCTTATTTTTAGAGGGGAGACGCCACTTTGAAGAGAAAATACACACGAGAAACATTCGGGAGCGAAGAGATCTCAGTTTTCTTCATCTTTTCTTAGTATTTTCAACTATCCAACACTTATGAAATTGTTTGCTATTATCATGAGTGGCTAAAACCCATAGTTGTGGGGTTGTGATTTAGCCATGAATATTGTTGTTTAACGTTGACTTAACCTTGATTACAATTCACTAATATATGGTTGTTTCTTCAATTCTGTGATTAATTGCTTAATTGTCTGGTCAGCAGCTAGGTTCTATTTACTATCTATGCTATGCTTGGGAAAGCCATGTTTAGATTACAGAAGAATTGAAAAGAGCACGATCTTAACTCTGAGGAGGGCGGATTTGTGGTTAGGATAGGAATATATCTAGTCACCGTGCATAATTAAATATCGTAATTTTAATGCATTCTTAATAGATTGATTCTATAGGAATATAGGCATTAATCTATTTGGAATAGGCGAGTAGTACTTTGGGAGAAGGCTATGAGAGCAATTATCGATTAATTAGCAACCATGAGTGAATTGTACCAAATGGAGAGTTAACTAGAACACAATAGGATTGGTGAACCGATCACAACCCTGGAATATTTGTCTCTACTGAATACACAACATTATTTTGCTGCTTGATAATTTAGTTACTACTTAGAGTTATAGTTTAGTATAATCACATTCTTGACTCGAATTTGGCTCGACTGAATAACAATCATGGTAAATTTAGCAGGTAGTTGATACAAGTCTCTGTGGGTTCGACACTTGACTTATCATTTTATTACTTGTACGACCACGTATACTTGATGTGTGTTTGGGAGCAATAAGTTTTTGGCACCGTTGCCGGGGACTTGAATATTGACTACTTTCTAGTTTTTGCTTTAACTGTTTATTTCGTCAAGTCTAACGTTACTTGATTGTTGCTCTGATCTCAGGGACTTTAATTAAATGTGCAGGGTCAGAAGCCAGGACAGACTTCAAGGCTTTGAACCCAAACCTGAGAGAATATTTCATAGGAGGTTGAGGGAAGCAAAGCATACAAATAATCTCCAGGCACTTGTTCAATTTCCTATGAACATGGCAGAGGAGAAACATATGGCTGTTCAGGAGGTGGCGATGCCCAGCATTGCTAATGTCACTTCCAGCATTGTGAAGCCCAGGATCACTGAGCACTTTGAGCTAAAACAGAGCATGATCCAGCTACTTCATGCGAATGGGCAGTTTATGGGTCTTGCACACGAGGATCCACAACAGCATATCCTGAACTTCTTGGAGATTAGTGATACTTATATCACTAACGGAGTCATTCCAAACTATGTGAGGCTCACACTTTTCCCGTTCTCTCTGTTGGGCGAAGCAAAGCGATGGCTGAAGGCAGAACCACCTAATTCAATTACATCATGGAATGATCTAGCAAGGAAATTTCTGGCAAGGTTCTTCCCTTCAGGCAAAACTACAAAGATCATAAGTGAGATAGTCTCCTTCAAAAAAATCGGTGGAGTTCTTTATACTCAGCTTGGGAGAGGTTCAAGGGACTACTCAGAGACTGTCCTCATCACAATCAGACAAACGCAGTGTTAGCTCACACTTTCATAGAAGGGCTACATCCTGAAACGAAAATTATGGTAGATGCTGCAGTTGGAGGTCAAGTGTTGGAGAAAAGCTTTGACGAGATATATGCATTATTGAACAAATTCTCCAAAAGCAATCGGGATTGGCAAGGAAAAATGGGCAAACACGCGGTGCAAAAATCTACAGGGGTTCTCGAGTTAGATGTCGTCTCGGCATTATCAGCACAGATTTCTACACTGACTAACCAAGTCAATCAAATGACATTGATTATTAACAAGAAACAAGCTCAGCCAGTGCAACAAGTTTAAATAGTTTGTGAAGTATGTGAAGAGGGTCACACGAGCGACTTATGCCCAGTTAATCCAGAGTTTGTCTGCTTTGTGGGTAATGCAAATAGGGGCCAGACAAACCAATATGGGAACACTTACAATCCCAACTAGAGGAACCACCCAAACTTCTCTTGGGGTGGAAACCAAGGTGCTCAAAATCAATACCGACCACAAGCACCTCAACAACAATATAGACCACCAACAACAGGCAACTTCAACAATTCACATTGAGGAAATGATGAAGAAATTGATGGCGGACCAACAAGCCCACACAACAGAGATGATAAAGAAAGTGATGGTTGACCAGCAGGCCCAAGCCGCAGCAATGAGAAATTTGGAGCGCCAAATGGGACAACTTGCTAGTGCCCAAAATACTCAACCAATTGGAGCTCTTCCGAGTGACACTGAAGCTAATCCTAAGGCATCCATTAATGTCATGTCATTGAGGAATGGGAGACAATTAGAAGAAGTCCAGACAAAAAAAGAAAACAGGTGACCTTTAATGAGAAGCCGGCTACTATAGAGTCAGAATCAGAAAAATCAAAGGAATCTGAGAAGCCAGCTGAATAGGCGGTGGCTAAGCAGCCGCCACCATTAGTTGCGAGGCCACCACCTTCATTCCCTCAAAGATTGTAGAAAGTGAAGGATAATGCTGCGTATAAAAAGTTTCTTGATATTTTGAAGCAGGTGCAAATAAATATTCCACTGGTAGACATCCTGCAAGAAGTGCCCAAATATACAAAATACATCAAGGAAATAGTGGCAAATAAAAGGAGGCTGACTGAATTCGAGACTGTGGCACTCACTGAGGAATGTAGCTCAAGAATCCAAAGCAAGCTACCTCAGAAATTGAAGGATCCAGGTAGTTTCACTATCCAAATCTCGATTGGTAAGCATGCAGTCGGGCGAGCTTTGTGTGATCTTGGAGCGAGCATCAATCTGATGCCGCTATCTGTGTTCAGACAGTTGGGTTTGGGTGAGCCACGCCCAACAACGGTAATCTTACAGTTGGCTGATCTCTCCCTTCGTCATCCGGAAGGAGTGATTGAAGATGTGTTAGTTCAAGTGGGTTCTTTCATATTCCCTACTGATTTCATTATCTTGGACTACGAGCCTGATCAGGAAGTCCCATTTATTTTGAGGCGTCCATTCTTAGCCACGGGCCGAGCTATTATTGATGTATGTGAAGGAAAGATGACGATGAGAGTAGGTGATCAAGTGGAGCTATTTAATGTGTACAAAGCACTCATATTTATGGCCCACTATGAAGAGTTAACCATGATTTCTGTAGTGGGAAGCAATGCTACGTCATTGGTGCCTTATATGAGCCCCATAGATCCTCTTGAACGAGCTTTGATTGGGAATGAAGAAGACATTAAAGATAAGATGATGGGCGAAATTGAGCAAGTACTTGACATGTCATGCAATTATGTCCATGGGTTTAGGAAGTTTGAGGAGTTAGGCAGGCCTATTACTCTGACCTTTCCTAAGCCATCTATTGAGGAAGCTCCAAAGCTAGAATTAAAGCCCCTTCCAGCACATCTGTGCTATGCTTATTTAGGGAACTCGGAAACATTTCCAGTAATTATCTCGTCCAGCCTGACTACTTTGCAAGAAGAAAAATTGCTCAGAGTACTTCGCGAGCATAAAAAGGCTATAGGGTGGACAATTGCTGACATCAAAGGAATCAGTCCATCATTTTGCATGCATAAAATTTTTCTGAAAGATGGACACTGCCCCAGTGTTGAGCAGCAAAGGAGATTAATCCTATCATGAAAGAAGTCGTGAAGAAGGAAGTAATTAAGTGGCTCGATGCAGGTATCGACTTTCCTATCTCTGACAGCAACTGGGTAAGCCCAGTGCAATGTGTGCCTAAAAAGGAAGGGATGACTGTGGTTGAGAATGAAAAAAATAAGCTAATTCCTACTCGCACCGTGACGGGGTGGAGAGTTTGCACCGATTACAGAAGGCTCAACAAAGCAACCCGCAAGGACCATTTCCCACTTCCATTCATTGACCAAATGTTGGACAGATTAGCGGGGCATGAATATTACTGCTTCCTTGATGGTTATTCGGAGTACAACCAAATTGTTATATGCCCAGAGGATCAGGAGAAGACCATTTTTACTTGTTCTTATGGCACTATCGCCTTCAAGCGAATGTCGTTTGGTCTTTGTAATGCACCAGCCACCTTTCCAGAGATGCATGATGGCTATTTTCACCGATATGGTGGAAAATTTTGTGGAAGTTTTTATGGATGATTTTTCAGTCTTTGGGTCTTCTTATGATGATTGTTTGAAGAACTTAAGCAAGGTGCTGGCCCGTTTTGAAGAAACAAATATGGTATTGAATTGGGAAAAGTGCCATTTTATGGTACAGGAAGGCATTGTGTTGGGTCAGAGATTGTCTAGGAGCGACATTGAAGTTGATAAAGCGAAGGTGGAGGCGATTGAAAAATTACCTCCACCCATTTCTGTGAAGGGTGTCCGGAGTTTCTTGGGACACGCGGGATTCTATCAGCCTTTATTAAAGATTTTTCTAAAATTGCTATTCCTTTGTGCAGGTTGCTTGGAAAAGATGTAACTTTCAATTTTGATGACGCCTGCCTGAAAGCATTTGAAAATCTCAAAAGAAGTTGGTGGTTGCCCCCATTATTGCGGCACCTGATTGGTCCTTACCATTTGAGCTTATATGTGATGCAAGTGACCATGTTTGGGACAGTGCTAGGCCAGAGAAGGGACAAAATGTTTTATTCCATCTACTATGCGAGTAAGACTCTTGATGATGCTGTAACAACTAAATTTTGTTCCTGAAAAATAATAATCAAGACAAGAAATATAGCGACAAATATTATATTCGATTCAAGTGATGGGGTTACAATCTCTAAAATGTCTCTAAAATCTAAAGAGATGTAGTCTTCTGATTCTTCTCCTCACGGACGATGATTCAAGAGCTTGAGAGCTTGATCTTGAACTTGACGGATTTCAGATTTGTAGTACGTCACGAACAATTTGAAGGTCGTCGCGAAACAGGATTTGGTGTTGGGTTATCACGAACGGAAGATTTGAAGCCGCTCGCCTATGATTTGAGTTCGCCTTTGGAATTTGACCACAGACGACGATTGCAGATATGCATGGAGACTTTGATGCTATTCTTCAAAGCTTCTTTAGCCTTTCCTTCTGCTACTTGCTTGTCTTAGCCTTCTCCTTTGACCCCTTTATATAGGTGTGGGATGGAGTAATCTCCAAAAAAAAGCCCTAGTGGATCATTGGGCTTGAGGCTTATGGGCCGACCCATTTGATAGAAGACCAATTGACGGGCTACCCAATAATACATTGGACTTTTATTTAAATTAATTTATTTTAAATTTAAATAATCGACCCTATTATACTAGCCCATAATATCATTGGAGTAATATGTATTTAATATATGACGAAATCCAAATTACTTGTGGATTCAGATTTAATAAAATTTTATTTGTCTACAGATGCGCAGCTAAATTACACCAACACTAAAAAAGAGTTGTTAGCTGCGGTGTGGTCCTTTGAGAAATTTCGGGCATACTTGGTGGGAACAAAAGTCATAGTCCATACCGATCATGCAGCAATCAGGTATCTATTTACAAAAAAGGAATCTAAGGCTAGTTTGATGCACTAGGTTTTGTTGTTGCAAGAATTTGATGTGGAAATACGAGATCGAAAGGGCATAGAGAACCAAATAGCTGACCATCTATCAAGGCTGGAAAATCACGACCACGTGGAGGACGGTGGCCAAATTAAAGAAGTATTTCCTAATGAGCAACTTTTTGCTATCACCCAAGACCCTCCCCCATGGTACGCAGACTATGTGAATTATCTGGTGAGCGAGGTACTTCCTCCTGAAATTGAATCTAAAGCTAGAAAGAGGTTTCTACATGATGGGAACTTCTTCTATTGGGATGAGCCATATTTGTACAAGCAATATGCTGATCAAATGATGAGGAGATGCATACCAGAAAAAGAGGTCGAACTAGTGTTGTATGATTGTCATGCATCATCCTATGGGGGGCCATCATGGAGGTGATAAAACAGCTGTAAAAGTATTACAATGTGGTTTCTTTTGGCCAACATTATTCAAAGACACCCATGCATAAGTGTGACTAGTGTCAGAGAACAGGAACAATCACAAAGAGGCATGAGATGCCTTTGAATAAAATCCTGGAGGTTGAGATTTTTGATGTGTGGGGGATAGATTTTATGGGACCATTCCCATTGTCCAGAGGAAACAAATACATTTTGCTAGCAGTTGACTACGTGTCAAAATGGGTAGAGGCGATCACATTGCCAATGAATGATGCCATGGTGGTAGCCGCGTTTGTGAAAAAGAACATATTTTCGAGATTTAGGACTCCACGTGCTTTGATAAGTGATGAAGGTACACACTTTTGTAATCGGTTGTTGAATAACCTTCTAACTAAATATGAAGTCCGCCATAGAGTTGCGACAGCATATCATCCTCAAACAAGTGGACAAGCTGAGGTGTCGAGCAGAGAAATAAAGCAAATCCTAGAGAAGACGGTGAGTGTGAATAGAAAGGATTGGGCTGCAAAGTTGGATGATGCCTTGTAGGCATATAGAACTGCATACAAAACGACAATTGGAGTGTCGCCTTATAATCTGTTTATGGGAAGGCATGTCACTTGCTTGTTGAACTTGAACAAAAAGCGTATTGGGCCATTAAGAAGTTAAATATGGACCTTGAAGCCGCGGGCGAGAAAAGGCTCTTGCAGTTGAATGAAATAGATGAGTTTAGGCCGCACTCTTATGAAAATGCTAAGCTTTACAAAGAGAAGACAAAAAGATAGCATGGCAAGCATATCAAGCCGCGTCACTTCGAGCCAGGCCAACAGGTATTATTGTTCAATTCTAGGCTAAGGCTATTTCCTGGGAAGTTAAAATCAAGATGGTCAGGCCCTTTTGAGGTGGTCAGAGTCACTACTTATGGTGCAATTGAGTTGCGAGCATTAAATGGTGAAAGAAAATTTTTGGTGGATGGACACAGAGTCAAGCATTATTGGGGAGGAATAATTGATCGTGAGAAGATCAAGGTTGTACTCGCTGATGAGTAAGCGAGACTCTGCATCGTGCCGCGTTATTAAATCAAGCACTTGTTGGGAGGCAACCCAATTTTTATTGTTTTCATAGCTAGCTTTCTATTTTTTTTAGTTAGAGTAGACTAAAGTTTGCATTTTCTTTGTAGACATAGAAATTATAGGTAGAACGGTGTGGGACATGTAATTTGGATATATAATAAGGCTCGAGGGATCGGGAAGTTATAAAAAAAATTAAAAAAAGAAGAATCGCTGAAACAGCGCTCAGGCCAGCGCCTCACGCTACCGGGGCGCTGAAGTCAGTGTGTTCGAAACCCCCAGTGCCAGGCATAGCGCGAAGTGGTGCGCGGGGGGGTGACCAGGTATTTTTTTTAATTTTCTTTTATTTTCGTTTTGTTAATTATATATTCTATTTAACCCATACCTACAAAACCCAACCCATATACCCATATACACTAATACTATAACCCATCTTAATACCCATACCCACCCACAAAACAAATTAAACATAAAATTCCTCCCATAAAACACCGAATTTTCCCCCATCTTTCTTTCTCTCTCTCACGCTAATGCCACGCTTCTGCCGAGTTTCTTCCTCCTCTCTCAAAAATTTTCTCAAGCTCCTCCCTTGCTCTCATCCTAAAATCTACAAGTATGTTCTTCTTTATCTTCTTCTTCCTCTCCTTTTTGTATTCTAATAGGTAAATAACTATGCATTTCCCATCTCCCCAATTGCCCTAATCCATAAAAATTTCCCCTATGTAGTTTCTTAAGAATTTTCTAATGGTGGGTGGTCTAGTTATTGGCCGAAATTGGTTGTGGTTGTATTATATACAGAGTAGTAAACTAGAATTCCCTCTACTTCGTTGAAATTTGGAAGGGAAACCATGTTCCACCATTGTTACACTAGAAATCACACACTTTATGCCCACAAGGTGTTTGTTAAAATATTTGAATGAAGATTTTGTGCACCGGTGAAATCTGAGTAACCGAGTGTATTTGTGTATGAATTTGGGCTAAGTGTGGGGTGTGTGGGGATGATTACACATGCTTGGGAGCTTGGTTTCGATGCACACATGTTGTCACACCATGTATCCTATATACAAAACCCAACCCACTTGCTTGCATTAAGGTGAATTCACTAAGCCATGATCAACCACTTGTGTGTGTGTGGCATTAATAAGTGCCTTTTTGCTATTGTGTGGCATAGGGAAGTCTTGAGTACCCATAGCTATGGAGTGCAACACTTGTGTATTTTAGATCAAAAGTGTGAAGTATTGTACATTGCGCCTTCAATTTTAAGTGTGGGGTCATTTTTTACTCGCGCAACAACCTTAGGCATATTTCTTGATGAGTTCTCATATTCGTGCTTATTTGTGTTGCATATTATTATGGCTCGTGATAGTGCAAGCAAAGGCAAGGGAATAGGAAAGTCCTCCACCACTGTCCCTGCACCCAAAAAGCGCAAGCAGGGAGAAGGTTCCTCGCGGCAAGCTTAAGGGAAACATGTTGCTGAGGGATCACAGCAGGCACCATTGCAACCAAGGCCTCGCTTGAAACTAGTCTCTGATGCGGCTATTGCATGGCATAGGGATTTCGTGCCATATGGGCGGTATGCCTCCGAGATGGGGATAGATATCAAAGCTTTAGAGCGAAACTTCCTGGATGTCCTTGGCCGGTTGCGCGC